ACAACCCAGGGTTGACTTAGCCCTGACATTCACTCTGAGGAGTGAAGATGACATTGCAGATATTTTCATGGAGATTAAGTGAAACACATTTTCCTTTCATGAGAAAATAAAATATCAGTGACAAGAGAATGAATATTTTGCAAAATATGTCTTAGGAAGTAATTTTTTAACCAATATTTCATAGTCACATGTAACTCGAGAAGCATTGGAATGTTCAGGATTTCTTAAGACCTAAGACATATGCAACAGAGTAAGTCAATATAAACATAAGAACGCCTTATTGCAGATGTTAACTACCTGGATTTTCTTTTTAAAGGTTAGATATACACCAATTCAAAGACAGAGAGTGCTACAGCAGACCATGAAACAATCCAATTTTATACAAAGACTCTCTTTAAATATAATTACATATGGAAATAAAGAGCAAATGGATGAATAACCATATATCATGCTAACACCAAAAAAAAAAAAAAAGCAGGAGTAACTATAATACCAGATAGAGTAGACTTCAAAGCAGGAAAGTTATTATGGAAAAAGAGGGGGCAATTCATGGTAAGTGGATCAATTCTCCAAGAAGAGAAAATAGTCCTTATGTAACATATACATGCTTGACAACAGGCATCAAAGTGGGGCAAAAATGATAGAAACACAAGAAGAAATAGAAGAATCTACCAATATACTGGGACTTTTCAATATGGCTCTATCAGAAATCAACAGACTTGGCAGAAAATCAATAAGGACATAGTTGAAGTCAACATTGCCATCATTCAACTTGATTCAGTGGTCATCTGTAGACTACTTCATCCAACAAAAGCAAAATACACACTCTTCTCAAACTGGCAAGGGGCATTTTCCCAGACAGATCACATTCTGAGCTATAATACACTCCTTAACAAAGTAAACACATAGAAATCATGCACTGTCTACTCTGAGATGATAATGCAATTAAACTAGAAGAATTCAATATTAGAAAGATAGCTAGAAAATTTTTTTAAAATATTTGGAAATTAAATAATCTCTAAATAATGAGTCAAAGAAGAAATCTCAAGGTAAATTCTAAAATATTTTGAACAAAAGCGAAAACACACTTTATCAAAATTTGTGGGATGTAGCAAAAGCAATGCTAAAAGTTATAGTGGCCGCCGCTGCAGCTCACTTTGCTAGTCCTCCACCTGCGGCGCCAGCACCCTGGGTTCTAGTCCCGGTTGGGGCGCCGGATTCTGTCCCAGCTGCTCCTCTTCCAGTCCAGCTCTCTGCTGTGGCCCAGGAAGGCAGTGGAAGATGGCCCAGGTCCTTGGGCCCTGCACCTGCATGGGAGACCAGGAGGGAGCACCTGGCTCCTGGCTTCGGATCGGCATAGCACGCCAGCCATGGCGGCCATTTAGGGGGTGAACCAATGGAAGGAAGACCTTTCTCTCTGTCTCTCTCTCTCACTGTCTAACTGCCTGTCAAAAAAAAAGTTATAGCATTGAGTACATATATTAAAAAATAATCTCAAATCCATTATCAATTCTTCTATCTTAAATTACTAGAAAAAGAAGAGCAATAAGCTGACTTGCCCCAAGTGGTGGAGTTAGAAACGTGCCAGGGGATTCCAATACAATCCCATCAAGGTGGCATGTACCAATGCCACCTCACTAGTACAAGTGGTCAATTTCAGGTCACAATAGACCATAATGATATGTCTAAGAATCAAAGGGATCACATAAACAAGGCTAGTGTCTGCTAATACTAACTGATAGAATAAAAAAGGGAGAAAACTATCCAACATGGGAAGCGGGATACACAGCAGACTCATAGAATGGCAGTTGTCCTAAACAGCACTCTGGCCTTGGAATTAGCCCTAAAGGCATTCGGATCTGGCTGAAGAGCCCATGAGAGTATTTTAGGCATGGAAAGCCAAGACACTCTGGCAAAAAAAAAAAAATATATAAGCATAAATCACCTAAATGAAAGCTCTCTGTGAGATCGATCCCAGTAGAAAGAACAGGCCATCAAAGAAGGAGGTACCTTTCTCTGAAGGGAGGAGAGAACTTCCACTTTGACTATGGCCTTGTTGAAATAAGATCAAAGTTGGCAAGCTCAGGGGGCTTCCATGGCCTTGGCAACTCATGACTAGAGCCTGGGGAGATTGCTGATGCCTTAAACAAGAGTGTCAATTTGTTAAGTCAACAACAGGAGTCACTGTGCACTTATTCCACATGTAGGATCTCTGTCCTTAATGTATAGTTCAATGTGAATTAATGATATGACTAGTGCTCAAACAGTATTTGGCACTTTGTGTTTTGTGTGGGGGCAAACTGATGAAATCTTTACTTAATATATACTAAATTGATCTTCTGTATATAAAGATAATTGAAAATGAATCTTGATGTGAATGGAATGGGAGAGGGAGCAGGAGATGGGAGCGTTGCAGGTGGGAGGGAAGTTATGGGGGGGAAAAGCCATTGTCATCCATAAACTGTACTTTGGAAATTTATATCTACTAAATAAAAGTTTAAAAATAAATAAATAAATAATTTTTTAAAAAAGAAAAAGAAGAGCAAATTAACTCCAAAATAAGGATAAATAATGAAAATTAGAGCAGAAATCAATGACACTGAAAACAGTGGAGGCTGGAGCTACAGTTGAAAGCACTGTGTGTTAAGAGAGGGAGCAGAGCCTTCCTATCAAGGGAAAGTGTTTTTGCACATAATGTATTTTTTCACTTTGGGGGGATTCTTTTTGTATAACTTCAATAAAGATTGTAAGCAAAGGTTGAATGCTGTTTTTCCTTAAATATTAGCTGAATCTGTGCGTTGGGGTACTCCAGGTTTTATAGAGTGGCCAAAGGTACTTGTTTTTTGCCTTCTGTATTGATCTCTATGTTGGAAATGTTAACCCCAGTTCCTGTCTAACATGTAGATGATGAAAGCAGTGTGGCTGTAGGCCCATCATCTTCTACCAGTGCTATATTTTTTTCTACCAAATACTTGCAAGGTCTTTCAAACCTTCAGTGGTGCTGTCATTGGATAGGGGCTATACAAGACCTGGTGAGGATCTTGCTTTGGGGTGCTGAAAACAAATGTTGGACTTTGAACCAAGCCTTGGGTGGTACCTATACCTACGTACCTAGTCTCCAACTAGGGCCATGATCCTGCCCTGGAGAAAGAACTGAAGAATTGAGGCAGGTATTTCCTGAGGAAAAGAGTTGATCTGTTAAATATTAGAAAATTGAACACTCTGATGGGAAAGGAGATTTAGGATGACGGTGATGGACACTTGGGGTGTGATTGGAAGAATCTGTGGGGAGGCTGGCTCACATTATATTTGTTGTTTTCTGTATAGAAAAGTTAAAATATATCAATACTTGGAATTGTTACTGTCTGCAGTTTTGACTTCTCAAATAAAGATGTTAAAACGCAAAAAAAAAAAAATAGAGAAAAATAAATAAAACCAAAAGCTGGTTCTTTCAAAATTGACAAGCATCTAGCTATTTAAGTGAGAGAAAAGAAGACTGGAGATAAATTACAAATATCAGAAATGAAAGAGAGGAAATCAGTACAGATCCCACAGAGATTCAAAGGATAATGAAGGACGGCTATGAAAACTATATATCCATAAACTTGATAATCTGAATAAAATGGACCAATTCCTTGAACACCAGGATTGCCAAAACCCACACAAGAAGAAACAGACAAACTGAATAGTCATATATCTACTAAATAAATTGAATCAATAATTAATTATCTTCTAAAATAGAAAGAATTAGACCTAGATATATTCCCTGGCAAATTCTACCAAATGTTTAATGAGGAAATTATATCAACTTTCTAATCTCTTACAGAAGATGGAAGAAAATACTTCCTAATCATGTATGAGGCTAACTACTTACTCTTAAACCAAAACCAGACCAAAAATTCACAAAGTAATAAAACTGTAGGCCAATACCTTTCATGAACACAGGATGCAAAACTATTCAAAAAAATTAGCAAGTTAAACTTAATGTATAAAAAGAATATACCCACACCCAGCTAGGTTTTATCACCAGGTGTGTAAAGTACCTAATTCAAAAGTCAATAAATATAGCATTACCAAGCTAAATATTAAAAAAAAATCACATGAATACATCAATATTTGCATACAAAAGTCAAATTTGTATTCATGATAAAAAGTCTCAGTAACTGGGGCTGGCGCTGTGGTGTAGGAGGCTAAGCCTCCGCCTGCATTACCAGTATTCCATATGGTGGCTGGTTCCAGTCCTGGCTGCTCCTCTTCTGATCCAGCTCTCTGCTGTGGCCTGGGAAAGCAGTGGAAGATGGCCCAAGTCCTTGGGCCCCTGTACCCATGTGGGAGACCCAGAAGGAACTCCTGGCTGCTGGCTTCAGATCTGCTCAGCTCCATCCATTGCAGCCATTTGGAGAGTGAACCAGTGGATGGAAGGACCTTTCTGTGTCTCCTTCTCTCTGTAACTCTATCTATCAAATAAATAAATAAATAATCTTAAAAAAAATTCCTCCACAGAATAAAACAGATTTAATTTTTTAAAAAGATCTTAAAAAAGTCTCAGTAAGCTAAGAATATAGAGGAGCTTTCTCAACTTGGTTTTAAAAATTATCAAAAGGCTGCCGGCACCGCGGCTCACTAGGCTAATCCTCTGCCTTGCAGCGCTGGCACACCGGGTTCTAGTCCCGGTCGGGGCGCCGGATTCTGTCCCGGTTGCCCCTCTTCCAGGCCAGCTCTCTGCTGTGGCCCGGGGGGTGCAGTGGAGGATGGCCCAAGTGCTTGGGCCCTGCACCCCATGGGAGACCAGGAGAAGCACCTGGCTCCTGCCTTCGGATCAGCGCAGTGCGCTGGTCACGGCAGCCATTGGAGGGTGAACCAATGGCAAAGAAAGACCTTTCTCTCTGTCTCTCTCTCTCACTGTCCACTCTGCCTGTGTCGAAAATGAAAAAATCTAAAGAAAAATATAACTCAAAAGGCTAACATCAGACCTTACAGGCAGAAACTAGAAATTTTCCCAGTAAGAGCAGGAACAAGGCCATGATGTCTCCTCTCATCACTCCTTTTCAACATTGTTGGAAGTCCTACTAATGCAATGAGATTTTTAAAGAAGGAAATAAAAGTTATTCGGATTAGAAAGAAAGACAAACTGTTTTTGTTCACAGATGATGTCTATGTAGAAAAGCCAAAAGAACTGATCCCACAAAAATAAAACCTCTTGGAAATAAGTGATTATACCAAGGTTGCAGGATATACATTGAATATGCAAACATCAAAAAAAGGCCACTCATCTTCCATAAACCAGCAACAAACAAGTAGAAATTAAAAAACACAATACCATTTATAACAGCACCCCAAAGAGTGAAATACTTAGGCATAAATGTAAGGTTTATAGGAGGATAACTATGAAGCTCTGATTAAAGCAATAAAAAAAAAAAGAACTAAATAAGTGGAAAGCTATTCCATGTTAATGGATAGGAAAATTTAATATTATTAAGATGTCAGTTCTTCCTAATCTGATCTATATATTCAATTCAACTACAATAAAAATCCCAGTGAGTTGGGCAAGTGTTGTGGTACATCAGTTAAAGCCACTGCTTGGGATGCTTGCTTCCATTACAGGAGTGCTGGGATTCGAGTCTCACCTCTGCTTCCAATTCAGCTTCCTGATAATACACACCGTGGGGGTGCAGCAGGTGATGGCTCAAATACTTGGGTCCCTGACCACCCATGTTGGGGACCCAGATGGAGTTCCGGGCTCCTGATTTCAGCCTGGCCCAGCCCTGGTTGTTGTGGGCAATAGAGAAGTGAGCCAGTGGATGCAAGATCTCTCTCTCTCTCTCTCTCTCTCTCTGCCACTTTGCCTTTCAAAAAACAAAAATAAAACAACAAAAAATGCTTAAATTCCACTGTCTTACTTTGTTGATATCAAAAAACTGATTCTGAAGTCTATATGAAGAGGCAAAAAATACAGAACAGTCAATTCAATGTGAAGAAAAAGAACAAAGCCAAAGAACTGACACTTCTTGATCTCAAGCTTACTATAAAACAACAACCATGAAGAGAGTGTGGGACTGGTGAGAGAACAGACAGCTCGAACAGAACTGAGCCCACGCTAACTGTAGGCGAATGATATTTGACAACACAACAAAGAATATAATGAGGGGTAAGAGTCCTCTCACCAAACAGTGCTGCACCAACCGGACATCCACAGTTTAAAAAATGCATCTACACACAGGTCTCACGTCCTTCACAAAAATGGATGACAGACCTAAATGCAATATGCAAAACTATAAAACACCCAGCAGTGAACATAGGAGAAAGTTGAGACTAGTTTGGTACTGATCTTTTAAACACAACACCAAAGACATGATCCAGGAAAAGACAAACTAGACTTCATTAAAATTAATTTTTTTGAAAGTCATTGTAAAAAGAATGAAAAGAGAAGCCTCACAATGCGAGAAAATATTTGCAAAAATATATCTGATAGAGGACTGTTAACCAAAACAAAGAACCATTAGAACTGAAAAATATGGAAACAACTCAATTTTTAAATGGACTAAAGCCCTTAGCAGACATCTCATCAGGAAGATATACAAATGGCAAAGAAGCATATGAAAAAGTCATCAATGGGTCATCAGGGAAATGCAAATGAGCAAACCACTACACACCTATCAGAAAAGTCAATATCCAGAATCCTGACAGCAGCAAATGCTGATGAGGATAGGAAGCAACAGGAACTAAAGAAAAACGGCACAGGTACTGTGGAAGACAGTTTGAAAGTTTCTTACAAAACTAAACACACTGTCACCATCAGATCCAGCAACTGCATTCCTTGTGTTTAGTCAAAGATGTTGAAAACACACTAAGACCTGCACACAGCTTATATCAGTTTTATTTATATTCACCAAAACCTGGAAGCCACCAATGTGTCCTTCAGTGACAGGATAAATCAACAGTGGTACCTCCAGATAATGGGATATTATTCAGTGTTAAAAATAAATGAGGGGGCCGGTGCTGTGGTTTAGCGGGTAAAGCCGCCACCTGTAGTGCTGGCATCTCACGTGGGCGGCCAGTTCAAGTTCCGTCAGTTCAAGTTCTCCACTTCTGATCCAGCTCTCTGCCATGGCCTGGGAAAGCAGTAGAAGATGGCCCAAGTCCTTGGGCCCCTGACCTGTGTGGGAGACCCAGAAGAAGCTCCTGGCTCTTGACTTTAGATCAGCCCAGCTCCAGCCGATCTTGCAGCCACTTGGGAGCGAACCAGTGGATGGGAGATCTCTCTCTCCCTCTCCCTCTCCCTCTCCCTCCCTCTCTCCCTCTCTCTCTCTGCCTCCCTGTAACTCTGCCTTTCAGATAAATAAATCTTTAAAAAGAATAAATGAGCCATCAAGCCATGAAAGACAGGGAGGAATCTTCAACATGTGTTACTAAATGAAAGAAGCCAATCTGAAAAGGATACATACTGTATGATTCCAGTTCTATGACATTCTGGAAAAGATGAAACTGTGGAGACAGGAACATGATGGCTGATTGTCAGGGCTTGGGAAAGAGGGAATACCAGACAGATCTCAGGATTATTAGGCCAGTGTAAAGCCCTCCATATGGTACTGTAATATTGGATACATGTCACTATAAAATGTAGAGCCCCAAACATGAACCATAATGTTATCTGTGGACTCCGGGTGGTAATGATGTCAGTGTGTGTTCATCAATTGTAGCAAATGTGTTGCCCAGGTTGGGGATGCTGATAAGGGGGCAGATTGTGCATATGTAGGGGCAGAGAGTATGCAAGAAAATCTCTGTACCTTTCCTTCAATATTGCCATGAACCCAAAACTGCCTTCAAAAATAAAGTCTATGTCTTTCAAAATTAGACATATAGACTCTATAATAAAAAATGCCATGGAAAAATGAAAGTATGCCTTTTAGTAGTAATGGCCTATGTGAAAATAAAGGTATCACATTTCCCAAGCTACAGGCCCTCAGTATGACCAATTCTATTTCATACACTCTGCTGTGGGGCTTGAAGTTCAACAGTGACTGAGCATCCCTACTCAGAGCATAGATAAACATATAGGCAAATAAAATATTTAATTTCAGTTGTGCAGAAATGTAGCAATTAATAGAAGGATATGAAATATCTGTATCCATGGGGCCGGCGCCACGGCTCACTTGGCTAATCCTCTGCCTGCAGCACCGGAATCCCATATGGGTGCCGAGTTCTAGTCCCAGCTGCTCCTCTTCCAGTCCAGCTCTCTGCTGGAAGGTAGTAGAGGATGGCCCAAGTGCTTGGCCCCTGCACTCGTGTGGGAGACCAGGAAGAAGCACCTGGCTCCTGGCTTCAGATCGGCGTAGCTCCAGCCATAGCAGCCATTTGGGGGGTGAACCAACGGAAGGAAGACTTTTCTCTCTGTCTCTCCCTCTCACTGTCTGTAACTCTACCTGTTAAATAAATAAAATAATCTTTAAAAAAAAGAAATATCTGTATCCATTATTTTCCTATACCAAGTTCCTGGGTTTTCCTATTTTATTTGAGGAATACTTTAGGAAGTGAGAAAATAGCAAAGTAAAATGATAATGAATGATTCTTTGTAGTAGGTAAGCTAAAAGGCCTGGGAAATTTTCCTTCTAATCTCACATAAAAAACATATAATCATATTTAAATTATAGACTTAGAGACTGGATGGAGCCTTATTATATGGACATTATAGGTCATTGCAGCTGAAATAGCTATTACACATCAGCTGGCCAACCCTTTCATTTTTCAGATAAGGAAACTATAGACACACTCAAGGTCACCCAAGGTCACCAACCAGTGACCTCTAGGGTGAACACCCAGGCCCCCAGACATACGGACCCACTCTTTATATACTCAGTGGTTAAAATGGACCAGAGCAAATAAATTACTTCACTGCATAAACAAGAAGAATGATCCTTGCATTGGAATTCACTATAAGGTAATTGTAAACTTCTCAAATTCGGCTTTTAGATCTTAAACACAGAGGAGGTGGAAATCCAAGACAGCATTAATAAACAAAGATTTCCATCTATGTCAAAATTAGCAAAACACAATCTCTTCAAAAGAGGAAGCTGAATCAGCTACAGCAGGCAGTAAGAATCTAAGACCATTTCTTGAATGAGAGCTCTTCGTGACCATAGCTCATTGGAACAGAAGCCTTAGAACCTTATGTCCATTCTTTGTGAAGGAAGTTTCCCTACCGGTATGACTAATAGGCTCAGGGTTTGGCTCAATCCTTCCTTCTAGAACATTCGTTTCTCCCGGCTCCTCTTCTAAGAATGCCTGTCTCTCAATTCCATTCATCATGACCCCCTTGGTGTGTCATTTCCCCAGATTTCACTCATGTCATTCCTCCTGAAATCAAGGGCGAGTCCCACTGCATGCAGGCATCAGCAAGCCAATCTCTGAAGCAGAGAAAGGTTTCTACAAGGCAGCCAAGTAAGGAAACAGGAGTAACGCTCAAATCAGACTTCCTGATCAGGGGCCTGGGGAAAGTTTTTATGGATCAGGTAGGAGGAAGCTGGTAAACAGAAACACTGGTGAGGCAAGTTCTGATTGGCAAGGCTTGGAACCAATCAGGCCAGCAGAGCCCCACGCTGTTCAATAGTTCCTATGAGAAAGCAGGAACTTAAAGGGACAGTCCAATGTCAATCACCATGAGCCTGAGGGAAATGTGGGAATCACGTATGACCACTTGCCCTCGGATCCTGAACCCATGTAAAGATTGTGAATAGCCCATAGAGTTCCATAGTTATGGATATGCACTAGGTCATGGATAAGATCACCAGAAGCACTACAGAATAAGAACCAAAGGAACTTCCCAACACTCAGATGTTACCAGTTTCCAGGCTGATGGTGTCTCTTTAGTCTGGGACCAAGGCCTTTGAAGCCTTCAGCCCTGCGGCTTTCTTGTTGGAGTGAAGGATTCTTGACGTTAAGTGTACTTACTGAAGCAGCACCATTAAAACTTCATGTAGTGTAGAGCTAAAAAGAGAAGGCATTATGGATGCCCTCAGTAATTCTGCTAGAACTAGAGCATCATTTTACTCCCAAACTGTACACAGATACATCAGGGAAAGAGGGAGGATACATGGGAATATTTCACTCAAGTGTTTGCATTAGGCTCAAAATACAAATCTCAGGATACATATTTGTCACCTGTCAACCCAAGCTGACAGAATCCAGCAAGAAACTAATTTCTGTATTCAGCAAAGAGCCAGAATCTACTTCCACAAACTCATCTGCTGATAACACCACCAGCCCCACTCTCAATTTCTCTTTTTTATTTAAATCACTTCTTCCCTTAAAGCAGCCACCACACAGACCAGAGACAAAAATGGAGAACCTAGTGCCCACAAGCCCTCTTTCTCCAGCTCTGGGCTTCGTGAGGTTGCAGTAGCCTGCTGCTCCCCAGTAAGCCCTTCCAACCATGAGAGTCCTGGAGAACAGCAGGGATTCATGGCCGAGTTATCACCTTGATTTAGACATTTCTTGTTCTCACAGAGGAGTTTCCCATGTCAGCAGACATGGGCTGGGTTCTCTGTCCCTCTAAGGAGGCACACGAGTCTTCTCCGCAGGGCTGATGAGATCTCACTTTCCATGCAAATACCATGACTTCTGTGAGTTAGAAAGAGCATGAATGAAGAGCTCTTAAAGAAGCCATGTCCACCAGAATCTGGAGTTCTAAAGTGTTATTCCACACCCGCGCCTTCACATGTTCCCCCAGCTGAGGTTGCCTTTGAGAAACGGGAAGCTTGGAAGCACTCTTGAATTTGACTCGTGTATTCGTTAGTCCAGACTTTACAGTATCTGGATGAGAAGGCTTAAAGAAACTTCCCTCCTTCCTGCAAATACCGGAATAGTACAGATATTCCATCAATCATTTAACTTCTTGAGAAGATCTAGCTTGTTTTCTAGCTTGCCACTTCCATGGACAAGCTTACGATTTGAGTACCTGTCTGATTAGGTAGGTTTTGAAATATTATGTCAGATACACTAGAAATGGTGGTGTGTGAGTATGGGAAGTGGAGGAAGCAGCTGAACTTGGTGGGATTTAGAGGGGAATCTGAAGAGGCAAGAAAGTAAACCAGGCATAGAGAAGACAGAGTGAGAAGACACACTCTGGACCTTCTCCAAAATGGCTTTAGTTGCTTTACTTAACTAAGATCATAGAATCCATGACTGCCTCGCCGTCATCACAGCCTCACTTTCTTGATAAAAGCTGACCCCTCTAGCATCTCCTCGTTCTTGTCTTCATTATTAAATGTAAGCTTTCCAAGAAGCTCTTTTTCTCTCTTGGGACTCTTCTCTGTGCCCATGGCTTTGGCCATTACGCCCTATAAAAGACTGCCTAATCCTGAGCTCCAGGTCCAGCCTTTCTCCAAAGCACTAACACTGTATTTCCCCTGAGGTGTTTCCTCTGGGATGTCCCACAGTGCTTCAAACTCAACAGGACTTCAGAATACAATTACATACAATTAATGGTGATTGCTGCAATTATATAGGCTGGAGTGCTTTGGAGAAAAGAAGAGTGAAAAAATTATAGTCTATGCTCTTCCTGGGTAAACATTCTGGGCAGAAGAGAGCAAAACAGCCAAGTGGGGTCAGCCCCAGCAGGCTGCACGCCAATTAGTGACAAAGGGATATTACATCCCATATGAGAATCAGGAATAACTACACAAACAAAAGAGAGGGATTTTTAAAATCTTACTTACTTACTTATTTGAAAGGTAGAGTGATGGGAGAGGGAGGGAGTTAGGGAAGGAGAGAGGAGCGTGGGGGAGGGGGAGAGAGAGGAGGATTGTCAAATACTGGTCCACTCACCAATGGCCACAAGAGCAATGCCATGTTTAGGAGACTAAGACCTAAGAGTTTTATCCATCCATCCTGCTGTCCTGTTGTTTCTATTCCCTTACACATGAAGCTAAATTAGGTACTACTGTATATAGGGAGCCTATTAAGTTCAATAAGCAAGGGGGAGCCCTTGAAGAGGGTGACTGAGTAACATGGCAAACCTCCACAAGCAACTCTTGAGAGTGGGGACACTTTGAGATCAGAAATCTCTAGCAGACCACTGACCACTGATGTCTGGAGTTCAGAAGAGTTGGGGTGCTACTTCCCCATACCTGCCCCCAAAGAAGGGCAGATTTGCACCAAGGGGGCATGCAGAGATGGGAGGCCTCACATCAGAAACTTTTTAAGTAACAATACTTCGCTGGCCCACAAAGGAGCTGAAACCGATGGGAGGTCAGAGAAGGGAGTCATGAAGACAGGCGACCTGAAGGAGGGCAGAGAAACGAAGTGAGAGGCACCAAAGAGGGAGCCCTCCACTGCTGAGCAGGCCCAGGAATGACTTGGGAGAGATCCTTGGATTTAGAGAGGAAGTATGTTCCCTGCTGCCATCTGTAGGGTCTCTCAGCCAGGTCTTCCGCCCCCTCGGACAGCCCATTCTTAGCTTGTCCCAGTCCCACACCCCCACACCATTCTTGATTCCACTTGCATCAGTCCAGCCCCATTCATTCTGTGCCAGTGTCCTATACCTTTCTCTTTAGTCACTGCTCTTCTGCACAATTTCTTTATGACACCAAACTGGCCATCTCACGGCCTCCTAGGTATTCCTTCCCCATTTGGGCCTGTCCACTTCTGCCAGTTAAATGTTTTCGTGAGCTCCAGTCGTGGTGTCCCTGCTTAAAGACTCTTGATGACAGCCCATTACCTACTGCTTGAAGGTCAAACTTCTTACAAGGGCAGTCAAAGCTCTTATTTGCAATTCACCATAGCAGGATCCCCTACAAAGCACTCATTACTCTTAGGCCATCCCTGCATTTAGCCTTGGACCACACAATGCTTCACTCCCCTGTAAGCAACACTAACTCCTCACTCCCTTTCAGGGACAGTCTTTCTCCAGTATAATACTGAGCTACTTATATTGTTCTCTGAGATGTTTGTCCCATTAAGGCCACTCATATGGATAGGAGTGGCAGATATGGGAAGGGAGACAACATGGAGAATTTAATCCAGGGGAAAAGGAAACACCTTCCTTCCGTGGCCTTTCTAGGACTGGAGTTTGAGCGTGGACGTGATAGAGAGGTGGTGGCATCTGCCACAATGAGGCAGGCCAGGAACTAAGATGGGTAGGATTGAAGGGGACCACCAAGGCTGGGGATGAGCTCCATCTACTATCTCTAAGCAACCCTTTACTGGACACCCAGCACACACCAAGCACTATGCTATATGGGGAGCTGCTAGGATAGCTCTTGGCAAATTTCTGTGGTGCAAATAGGCTCACTGTTGCCAATTTCAAGCTAAAAATATGACCGCATAGAATGCGAAGCTGGAAAGAAATGCACCGCATCTGCACCAGGGGACTGGCCCAGGGCTGGCTATAGCACATCACCCGCCAGGGATAAAGAAGTGAAAAAGTCAGGCAAGACCTTGTGTCATAAAGCTTGGTGCTTGTTGAATTTCAATAGCAGCCTTTACTACCATCTGGGGGTCAAGATGTCATTGTATTAAAGTCCACTGTCCCTTCCTATCTCCTTCTATCAGGCTTTAAGGCCTGTAAGGGCAGGGACCACACCCTACACTTCACCCTCTTCCCCACAGCACTGGCATGACACCCTGTTCATTGGAGACACTGCAGATTTGCTGGCTGATTGACTTCCTGGGACAGGGAGATGACACACATGGTGAATGGATGTCTATGCACTAAGAACAGGTCCTGCTTGCCATCCACCCCAGGTGAGTGAAAGCAACTGCATGCTAAAAGTGAATTTTGAGTAGCATAGGACTGGCTGTTAATACAATGATAAACTAAGAAATTCATCTCCAGTCCTCTCTACCCTAGACACCCTTCCTACCTCTTTGTCCAAGCTCAGGCCTGACCTCCCATTCTGCACACTTGCTAAGGCCTTCAGTGGTCATGACAAAACCAGGTGCTCTGACCTTCAAAATCATGGGGGTACTGGGGCTGTTGTGGTGTAGCAGGTTAGGCAACTGCCTGCAGCAGCAGCATCCCACACGGGTGCTGGTTCGAGTCCCAGCCGCTCCACTTCTCTTTTTTTTATGATTTTTTTTTATTTGAAAGAGTTACACATAGGGAGAAAAGGCGGAGAGAGAGAGGTAGGTCTTCCATCTGATGGTTCACTCCCCAATTGGCAGCAACAGCCAGAGCTGCACCAATCCGAAGCCAGGAGCCAGGAGCCAGGAGCCTCCTCCGGGTCTCCCACATGAGTGCAGGGGCCCAAGGACTGGGGCCACCTTCCACCGCCTTCCCAGGCCACAGCAGAGAGCCGGACGGGAAGTGGAGCAGCCGGGTCTCGAACCGGCGCCTATATGGGATGCTGGCGCTTCAGGCCAGGGCGTTAACCCACTGTACCATAGTACCAGCCCCAGCTGCTCCATTTCTAATCTAGCTCCCTGCTAATGTGCCTGGTAAGGCAGCGAATATGGCCCAAGTGCTTGGGCCCCTGCACCCATGTGGGAGACCTGGAGGAAGCTCCAGTCTCCTGACTTCAGCCTAGCCCAGTCCTGGCTATTGCAGCTATCTGGGAGTAAGTAAGTGGATAGAAGTTCTCTCCCTACTCCCACCCCCCCGTAACTCTTTCAAATAAATGAAAAAAATCTTTTAAAAAATTGTGGGAGGAATCAAGAGTTGTCTTTCGCTTTTCAAATGAGTCCATGACCCTATGCAGAAAAGGTGACGTCCTTTGGCTTAAGCTCTGATGCTGAGGGATCCTGGACTCTCATCACTTCAGGGTCTTCCCCAGTGCAGAGGGATCCTGACTGAAGCTGCGTAGAGGGATGTGTGTGTGGAGAGAGGAAAAGGGCACGGCACGCACACACTAGGTCCTGTGGAACCACAGGCAGCCGGCCACACACAGTCCTTTTACAAGAATGAAAGCAACATCAAAGGAGCTTTACAAAATGGAGTGGGGGGGGGGGCTTATGAACAGTTCAACCTGCTGCCTAGGAGCACAAACTTCGCTCACCTTCAAGCTTTGCAGTCACCTAGAACAGGTCATGCCATCGTGTCCAGACTCCAGGTGCATATCAAGACTCTTGTTTTATGGACATTTTTACTAAGGACACACATTCTTCTATCTTCTACTGGTCACACAGTCCCAGACACACAGCCCCTGATCTCAACTCCCAGCCCCTGATCTCAACTCCCAACAGAAGTTTCCCCCACAGAAGAAATTTTTCTGCTTTGTAACAATGCAACACAGTTTGCTCATGCAAGCTCTCGCTTCCCCCTGCCTTCTTCACAACACTCATCTGGAGCTATCTGAATCTGTTTTCTGGCTTGCAACCCCTAGGACCCTACATAAAATGCTTGTTCCTTTGTCAGTTTCTGAGTTCAGACTGATTGATACTCCCACACTCAGAGAGAAGCGCTGCCACCCTCCCCAGCAGGATGGGCAAAGCCAGCAGGCGGCTTCCAGCCCCTGCCCTTGAGGACAACGGAACCATTTCTGGGCTGGCGAGGTGGCTGCCCGCCTCCGCTGGGGAAAGAGGCCTCAGAGGGCAGTTCCCAGCAAAGCTGCAGATCCTGGCATAGGCACGAGCCCAGTGGATGAGGTCCGTTCTCGCCACCCTCTCCTCTCGTTTCCAAATCCCCACCACAGAGCCCACAACACTCCAAAATCAATGCTTTACTTCCCTAGCTCCCGTGTTACAACTGCAGCAGCAGATCAGAAACACCCCCACACAAACACACATTTCTCCTCTTCTTCAAAGAGCTGGCAGCAGTGGAGAAGCAGAAACTGCTACAGGCAGTTCAGACATTTCAGAAATCACACTGGCTCACCTTTACCACATACACTGTGGATCTTGCAGGAGACAGCAATACCTTTGTATTTTGGACACAACCGTCCTTAAATAAAGGTCAATAAACCTTACTTGCATTAACAAGGAGTTGGAGATGCAGCCCTGGAGGTCTCTGGAGGATGGTGCTTGGACTAACATACACACACACACACACACACACACAGAGGAACCACACATGGAACACAGGCCAGTAAATAGCTAGATTCACTACAAAATTAAGAAAAAAGTCATATGTTGAAACTTTGTTACATTTTTTATTCCAAAATAAAACTCTGATGTGTAAGTGGTTGAACCTCAAATTATGCTCTGAGCAGAAGAGCTAATGCATGTGTGTGTGTATACACACACACACACACACACACACAACCACTACTCCGTGTGGGTCTTGTGCTCAAGCGGAATTGCATGGGTGGTTGCTGCAGTCACTCCAAAGACATTTACCTGTTAAGTACATGCCATGATATGAAGCTGGTTATGGGAGAGGGGTGGAAGGGCTGGGTAGTGATGTCATCTTCCTGTTGAGCACTTTGCTGTCAACAACAGGGCTGCAGTCTGCATGAGGCAACACCACCAACTTCAGAGTTGAGGGCAAAAGGGGAAAAGTAATGCCCACAAAATAGCAAATATTTGCATCTGTTCAGTGCACCACAACTTTCAAAGCTTTTACAGATATGCCATTCACTCAACCTCATGATGACCTGGCAGGGCAGACAGGACAGGAGGATGCCCCCAGCTGATCCACCCCACAGTGAGAATGCCAGGCCTGTACCCTCCAGCTCTGAAATGCAGTCCCTACCTCTCCTCACATCCCCCTAACCAAAGGAGCTTTCCCAGAGAAGCCAATATTCCCTTCTGTAAACATCACATAAGACAAAATACCATAAGAAGCCAGGAGTTTTTCAACAGTGTGGCATATCTCAAGAGGACATAAAGGAGCAGGAGGAATAATTATTTTATGATTTGATTTAAATTCCACTTTAGAATTGGACCTTTGCCTCCTAACCCAAGGCAGGGTCACAGAGTAGAGAGCGGCAGCATGGTCTCCATGGGCTTTCTGTACCCAGGTGTGGGACAGAAGCAGGCTGCCACTGGTCCCAAGGAAGCACTGGCCAGTGGCCAAGCCTCGCAGCCCAAGGAAAGTCCTGCTCACGGGGCACAGGTAGGAGGCACCTGATGCGGCTAGCTCTGATCTGGAAAAGTCACTGCACTGCTCAGAGCTATTGGGATAAAAGCACAAACTACTCCCGAAGGTCATGCTGCACATGGTTCTGAGATGAAGTTCTCCAAAGGCAACCTCAGCTCTTCCCAGGCAGTCACATCACCCAAAGGAGCCAAGGCCTGAGCCTCCCCAGACAGATGCACCCATGGACAGACGGCTGCTTGTGGTGGCAAGGCAGGAACAAGCCCACCAAAGTAGGCACAGACACATGTGCTTCCACTTGTTGGTAAAGACAGGTGCTGGCGAGAGCCCCAAAGGGAAACCATCCAGTGAAGCCCTCCCGTCTTCCCCCGGATGGTGGTAGGACAGTGCATGGAACACTGTGGCCAGAGGAAATGGGCTCACATTCTCCCTGAGCAGGAACAGGCCTTAGTGGGCACTATCTCAGAAAACAAGGAGTAAGGGAGGCAACATCTGGGTGGGACAGGAGCACCCAGGTCAGACTAAAGCAGCAGGGCCCTGGCTGGAGGGCCTGGCTCCGTCACCATGCAGAAAGAGAGCAGGATGGAGGGAGGAATTAATGTGTAAGGCAGGGCAGGGGGCAGACAAATACAAGACATACTCCACTTCTGGGTTAGTAAAAACCCACACAGGCCAAGTTGCCTAATGTGCCTGAATTATAAGGGTGATGCAGACCAAGTCCTGGAATAAAGAGGGGATTTATCCCAATTGCCTGCTCAGCCAAGGACTTCTAAGTGCTGACCGAGGGCAACACACACGCATGTCACTCACAAGGAGCTGGGCAAGGGTCTCCAGCCCCTCATCCTCCTAGGCCCACCATCCTCCCAGTCTGGGCAACCCCGCAGTCCAACTCATGTGCACGCGTGTGTATACGGCAGGAGGAAACACTCGAGGGCCCAATCCTCGGTCCTGGACGTTTCAGGAGAGCAAAGGGAAAAGGCACGTAAAGGTGACTGGACAAAAGAAAGGAAAATAAAAAGCAGCTGCGAGTCACAGAATATTTTTTTTCAACATACCTTTCTTTACCTCATGAAAACAGAAAATCCAAAATATAAACTTATTTATTATTTTACATTCAAGTGAAATTTCCATCAGGAGGGGGCTGAACACAACTTCAGGCCGCGGTCACCGATTTCTTACGTCGGTGCCCTTTTAGGTATGCAACCCGGCAGACGCATTCAGCCCTGCGAGTTTCACCAACAGCTCGCTAGTCCCAGCTGCAACACTAGCCGTAGCCACTCACAAGCACACACACAAATTCAAAATCTCCTACGTAGAAAAATAAAGGATAAACATTATCCATCTATTTTAGACTGTGTAATGGAACTTTTATATACATAAAAACTTCTGTTTTCTTTAATGATTTTAGTCACTGTGCATCTTCTCCCCTCCTGCGTGATCTAAGGGTGCAGGAAGGAGACTGCCACAGTGAAGCAGCAAAGCTACACTTTCTGTCGGGGAGGAAGAGAAAAAGCCACTCCTCACTCCCCTTCCACAATCCTGCCGGCCCTCCACCACCGCCGCCTCCGATGGCCCTGCGGACGGCCTCCCGGTCAGCGGCTGCCCCGGCCTCCCCGCTCTCTAAGGCATCAGGGAGCTCGGAAGGCCCACGGGGCGGGGAGCACCTGCACAAAGGATCTGGGTGTGAGGGGAGGGAACGGAAGCATGCAGGCGAAGCCTTTGGAGAGTAAAAGATTCTGGAATCACCTCCCACAGCCCGGCCCGTTAGTATGGAGTTCGACTGTCCAGCTGGTGCTTCGTGAGGATGTACTTGAAGAACTCGTAGACAGACCAGGAGATGGCCGTGGAGGGGATCTGGTAGATGACCCGGGCCTGGATGCCCTTGAAGTAGCCGGCCAGGCCGTTGAGCCGGTACACCGTCCGGAAGGCGTTGGCCATGCCTGACAGCCGGCCACTGATGTTGGCCAAGGAGAGCGCCATGTTCTCCTGCGTGTTGAGGAGGGTCTTACAGACGTCCAGCGGGGTGGTGGCGGCTGCGGCCAAGGCCCCAGCCAGCCCGCCCGAGATGATGTGGGACTGTGGGTTGTAGCCCCGGTGAGGGTTGACCTGCTCCTGCAGAAACTCATAGGTGATGAAATGGATGGACTGGAAGGGAATGTTCATGGTCAGCTGCGTGGTGTAACTCCGGTAGAAGGCCCCCAACCCCTCGGTCCTCCACACCGTCCGGACGCAGCTGAGGGCTGACCGGTGCTGCGAGTTGTACATCTGCATGCGCTGCTTCACAACTGTTGGCGGGGCGCAGGGCGGGCAGTGGGCAGTTGGTTGGGTTTGGCCACACCCCAGGTCGGAGTGCAATGGGAAGCCAGGCCATAAAGAGAAACAAGCATGTTAGACACGCTAGTAAGAGGTCCCAAAGAGCGAGCACACACAGCCCCAGCCCGCGCAGCCACGGAGGGCCAGCTCCGGGCAGCCCCACCACACAACTCCACTTCTGCCTGCAGAGGCCCGGCGCCAGGGAGGTGGCTACTTCCCTCAGTGTCTCCTGCCAGAACCTCGCGGTGGGTGGCCCCAACCAGGCAGCCACTTCAGGCTCCCTGGGCAAACTGGATCTCCCAGCGGCTGGTACCCACCGCAGGTGGGAACCCTACCCCTTTGGGCTGCTGCCTCTGCCCTCCCTGATCTCTCACACGTCACCTGCAAGTGTGGCCCCTTGCATATTCCCAAGGGGCTGCACCTCTGAAGGTGAACGGACACTAGAATCACATCTGCCCAAATTCAGTGACAATCTCCAAGGCAGACCCTGACTTTGCAAACTCCAAATAACTGGTAGCTCACGGGCCATGAGACAAACGGGAGCGAACTGTGGTCCCTCGGACTTAAGAGTTGCAAGGGTGCCCAAGTCTTGCCAAGCGAATCCACACAATGTGCTCTGCTTTTCAAATAAATCAATCCGTCGTAATGACAAGGAGCTAAGAGGGAGGAGTTGAGTCTTTTTTTTTTTAATCTCCTTTAAAAAACACAAAAACGAAACTCTTGCTTGGTTAACATGGACTAACAGGACATTGGCCACATCCCAGCCTGAATCACCAAATAAAGAAAAGTCCAAACCTCATCCTGGTGGCCCTCTCTGTCTGCCAGCTCCACATCACAGATTCAACCAACCTCAGAGGGCAAATACCTGGGGGAACAACTGCTGGTCTACTGAACACATACAGACTCTTCTGCTTGTTATCAGTGCCTAAAACAGTCTAATAACAATATCTACATAGCATTTACATGTTATTAGGTGTCACCTGTAATCCATGGGACAATGTGGGTGGCTTAAATGCAAATACTAGGCCACTTTCTGGAAGGGGCTTGTCCTAGAACCAATCTCCAGAAGATGTCAAGGGAACTCTGTAATACACGAGTCTGAATCTAATGGGGACTTCAAGTTTTTCCTTGAACTACTTCCTGGAGGGGTCTCCTCCCCTCCCCTGCCTCCCTACAAACATCTCTCCTGGTCATAAACAGTCATGCAGACAGGCAAACTTACTTAACAAAGCCACAGCTCTTGAGAAAGACAACACGGGCCACCAGAGTTCTCTACTTTCTAAGGAAACACTGAAAGAAGATGAGGCTCTGGCGCACTCACGGCACACAGAAGCCAAGGCCAAAGGAGCTAGAGCCTCCACGTGTCCATCTAGCCAGTAAACCCCAGACCCCAGCAGACAAAGGCTCCACACCACTCCTCCCAGCGCACCCCACCACGGCCCTGAAGGGTGGAATGTGTCCACTGTCTACCAGGACAGAGGCAGCTGAGACCAAGTAAGAGGTTTTAGCCTTAAAAGGCAAGAGCAAACTTAAAACACCAGACTTAAAATGTTGAAACTCTTTAATTCCCACTTCTGGCCTTCAGGTGGGGGGAAAATGTGTCAGGAGAGAGCTGCAGAGAACAGCACTGAGCCCCACGCTGTCCTGCTGGTCAGAGCTGAGTCAGCTAAGGACACTCGGACACAGAAAACAACTACCAGAATGCAAGTCTGTGCAGCTTGGGTGGGCTTTATACATGCCCAAAACCCAAAGAGGGAAGAAACAGTTAACATAGCTAGGTGTAAATTTTTGAAACAGAATGATGGATTCACAGGGAATTCCCAATACTATTCTCTCTGCATTTGTGTATGTTTGAATTTACCATAATCACCTCAAATTAGGACAAAAAAACAAAAAGGTAAACTGAACACAAACTCTAATGAATGGTCCCTGGTGGGTTCTCCCTAAATTTGGAACAGGTGTGTGTGTGAGCAAGACATACACACAGCTTTATAGTAATGCAAAAGCATGGAAAAATAATCACAAGGAATTTGTTACAACACATCCCCAGTCCCTATGCCTAGAGATTCTGATTCAGGAGACCTGTAGGAGGGCAGAAGAATTAGTATTTCTGGGGCCAGCACTGTGGTGCAGCAGGTTAAGTCACTGCCTATGTAGCTGGCATCCCATACTGGCGCTAGTTCGAGTCCCAGCTGCTTTGCTTCTAATCCAGCTCCCTGGTAATGTGCCTTGGAAAGCAGCAGAAGACGTTACCAGTCCCTGGGCCCCTTGCCACCCACGTGGAAGACCCAGATGAAGCTCCTGTTTCCTGGCTTCAGACTGGCCCAGCCCCAAGCCATTGCGGCCATTTGGGGAGTGAATCAGCAGATGGAACATTGCTCTCTCTCTCTCTCTCTCTCTCCCTCTCTCTCTCTCTGTAACTCCTTCAAATAAATAAAATCCTAAAAAAAAAAAAAAAAAACAAAACAAAAAAAACACAACTTTTCATGTTTGATTGACACACAATAATGCCACATACTTATGGGGTAGAGTGCACTACTCCGACACCTGTGTGCGTGTGTATGTGTGGATATAATTCAATGATCCAATCAGGACAATTAGCCTTTCTGACACCTTCCATGAAGCTGCCTGCCAGTCTGAGGACCACTGTTAAGTAGCTCGCTCTGCTAACAAAAACAGGAAGAACACAGGGCTCACATGCTCAGGGCCTCGAGAGGCCGTCGGGAATGTAATACAGAATTCAATTCTCCTGCTGGCTCTGGCTGGGAACCGGGAGTCCCTTGCCCACTTCTGTCCTCCCGTCCGTACTCTTTCCTCTCGCCCCTCTGCACATCCCCGCCTGGCCCTCCCTGGGACCATGGGACATTACCTTCTGCTGGATTCATTACTGCATCGTGGAGCAGGGTGGCCATACTCCCAGCTATCCCTGCAAAACAAACTCCAAAAAATTACCCTCTGGAACCGGGTGTGCTGAGGAAGATCCTGGAACCTAAAATCAGATGGAACGCTGAACTGCAAATCTGGCTGCTTAAACCCCAAGGAGGCCGGGGGAACACTGGGCAGGAACGGGGAGGGTTAACACAGCCATAATTACCCATGTTCAAATTCTGTCGAAACCTCCTTTGGTTTCTGGTAGTCAACCCTGGGAAAAGACTAGACCTGCTCGCGCTGGAGGATACCCAGAAACCGCACACCGAGCCACCGTCTAGATTTTAATTGTCTCTTAAGCTCACCTTTGTCTACAGATTAACTCACTCTGCCCTTAAGCTGAGGAGATCAAAGGGGCTAAGTATCATGTAGAGGGCTGAGAGGGGAAAAACACAGGAGAAATCTTTTGAGAAAATTCCATAGTTAAAATCCAGGCCCTTTTAAAGGAAACAGGTAAGAGCGTCAGGAAGATCTGAAAGTGACTCATCTCCAGGGTACGGCTGCAAAGCTAGGACGGGTCTCATGGGGGACAGACCCCCATCTCGGGGTACTCATCTGGCCTGGCTACAAGCACCAGGAACCCCGGAAGCCTGAATCAGGCCTGGACTTTTGTTCTCCGCTTTGCATTTTCTCCCTCTGCTGCCTGGTAATTAACATGACCGCTGGAAGATGGGCGGGTTACCAGGATAACTCCAGAAAGGCAGACAGCAGCCCCCTCCTCCCCCTGCACACACACTTGTAATTATTTCCAGAAAAGCCAGAACAGAACCCCAGGGCCCACCACGATGTTGTCGCAACAGCCCCGGAGCAGCGCTTGGCATGAGCCGGGTCCTGCCGACCCCCCTCGGAGGAGCTACGCCATTAGTAAGGCGGTTTGGCCAAGGCAGGGCCCCAGTGTCACAGACTCGGGAGACCCGCAGGGCACGGCTCTTAGCGACCATCTCCATAAATGCCACAAAGGGCCGACTGTCACAGAGCCAAGGTTTGTGACAGGAGGGACGCTTTCTGGGTCTAAACAGCACAAAAAGAGAAGGGACAAGATGATGGCTGGTCACACGTAGCCCTCCATTGCTGAAATACGAATTTCGTCAAAAGGAGAGCATATTCCCATTCCGTACCCACAGATAAATGAAAAGCCAACAGCAGCCAAGTCCACCCGACCCTGGGGGACACAGGCGCTCAGGCTGGCCCAGCTGGAAACGCCTTATGTAAGAGCTGCTGCCGTCCGCAACCCCCCACCCGCTCCTCTCCCTCCAAACAACAAAACTATGTCAGCCCTTGCTTGCAGAGAGATGAGAGATGAGACTCAGACACACGGAAGAGAATGGGGTAGAATTCCCAAATCTCCTGAAAGCGGGCACTGGCGCAAGTCTTTGTCAGCCATAAAACTTCTTGACCTTTTAAAGCTCAGTTAGATCTTGGTGTTGTAGAGACCTGTTGTGCCAGTTTTTAAATAGTCTCAAAGAAGCTGTCCAGATCACTTTTTTTTTTTTGAATCCAGTATTCAAAAGCTTTGTTTCTATTTGTGTGGTTTTTTTTTTAAAGAGGTCTGATCATTACTTGCTTTTGTATGTTTAAAAAAAAAAAAGAACCCACACAACAATGACAATCAAAAAAACAAAAATAAAAACAGAAACACCTCTGTCACTTGTCACTGCTTTGCCCCAGGCTCCAGAGAGCGGAGGGGCACAGGAATAAAAAAAAAAAAAAAGCATGTGTGTGCGTGCATGTGTGTTGTGTGTGCATGCGCGCGTGTGCATGGGTGCGTGCGCACACACGCCTCTAGAGTTCCTTATTCATGAGCAAGCGTGCCGAAGACGAGGCGTAAGGCTGCTGGGGCCACGGGGAGGAACAGCTCGGGGTAGGATGTGTTGAAGAAGAGAACTTTCTAACTCCAGACAAACGCTTTCAAAATACCGTTGGCTAGGTGGCTGTTTCCTTGGTGGTTGAAAACGTCATTTAAAGTCCTTTTCATGTTTTCATAGCAGGCAAAATACAAGGCGTGGGCCGGCCCTGCGCCCATCATCATCACGTTGAGGCCCCGCAGGGGCCTCCAGAAGCCTTCAGTCTGCATGATTTTCCTGAGGGCTCCGTAGATACTTGTGTACTGGGCTTTGGGATCCGGATTCAAACTCTGCATTCGCGTCTGCGGGAGAGTGAGAAGAGAAGACCAAACGGTGGAGTTAATGAGGACCCAGAGAGAGAGAAAACAGTTGGCATTCATGGCTGCACAGGACCTCCTGGTGAACAGCACTCATCCAACTGCCACCCTCTTAGAGGCCACCCCTTCTGCTCTCCCCCTGCGGGCATTCTCCTAGATTCCATCATGTCTAGTAAGGGGGGGTGGCAAGGAGGTGGGGAGCAGAGCGTGGAGTAGGAAATCCCCACTCCGCCCCGCACTGTGGCCTCAGATGGATCCCTCAACCTCTCTAAGCCTTGGGGCTTTGAATTAAGTCAACAAGCAGCAGCAAAGCAAAGCACTGTGCAAACACTCCACACATGCGGAGTCCTCCCTGAGACTGCAGGGGAGCAGAATCTGCGGATGCCCAACCCCTTAAACAAAGTGCTGCAGTATCTGCATACAACCTATGTATACCTTCTGCTATACTTATATTTTGTTGTTTGCTTTTATTTATTTAAAAGGCAGAGCAACAGATGGAAAAAAAAGAAGAGATGGTCTTCCATCTGCTGGGTCACTCCTCAAATGCCTCCAACAGCCATGGCTGGGCCAGGCCAAAGCCAGGAGTCAGGAACTCAGTCTGGCATCCCACACAGAAGGCAGCCAGGTACTTGGGGCATGAGTTGCTGCCTGCCAGGAACCATCAGCAGGAAACTGGATCAGAAGCAGTCACGGGACTTAATCCCGTGCACTCTAATACGGGATGCACGTGTCCCGAGCAGTGGTTTAACTCACTGTGTACGACATCAGCCCCTCCTATATACCTTAAATAATCCCTAGATAACAATACCTCACACGGTATAAATGCTATATAAAGAACAGTTATACTGTATTGTTCAAACAATAATAACAAGAAAAAGAAGTCTGTATATGTTCAGCACAGACACCGTTTTTTAATACTTTCGATGCACGACTGGTTGAAGCCACAGATGCAGAACCCATAGGAGAGCGAGAGCTATATTACCACCACTTTGTGGAGACTCTGAAGTCGTCTTTGTCCTCACTTAGGCGAGCTCTCCGTGTTCTGAACACTCCTGTTCAGTCCCTACCTTGAAATCTGCCTGAAACCTCCAGCCCTCACCAGCCACATACCTTTACACACATCTTCACAAGTCAGCACCCAAAGCTAGCAGGTCCTGCTCTCCATTTTTCCTGTGCAAAGTCTCATCTCCCTGAGGCAGACACTTGCTTTCCCTCCTCTGTCAGAGCCCTATCCCAGCACCTGGGTGTGACAGCCACTTGAGTAGGTAAGTGGGGTGGTTAATTTCAGGTACCAATCTGGCTTGGCCACAGTGACTGGATATCTGATCAAACACCTGTCTAGGTGTTTCTGTGAAGGAATGTTTTAAAAAGGAGTTATTTATTCAAAAAGCAGAGAGGGAGAACTTCCATCCACTGATTCACTCCCCAAACGCCCACATCAGCAGTTTAATCAGAGGATACATCATACGCAAACAAGATGAGGGAGAGAGAAGCAAGTGAAGGCACCAACCAAGGGATGCCTGAGTCCCGGCCAGGACGCCTCTGCTTAGTGCCTGCATGGCCATCGGCTGGAAGCCCTGTAGTGCACCCAGCACAAGGCCCTCACTCTGGGAAGCAGGAGGCAAAACTGCTCCTTGGGAAATGGCAGGAGTTCTCTGTACTTGAAACTGCTCAAGTTTTAGAGCCAATAAAGTTTCATGTTGTACCTGGCTTTTTCTTCTAATTACCCCTGAATACATCACCACGTGCTGGTGAAGAACCCAGGCTTCGGCATCAAAGAAAACTGGCACTGAGCTCAGCCCTGTTACTCATGGTGTGCCCCCGGGCACACCTCTAGCTCAAGAAACTTGTATAGGATAACATGAGTCAAGGAGCACCACTGTCAGTAGCAGTCAGGGATGCATCCAGGGGCTACACGAAGGTGACTGGCTGAGACTAAGTGACACGGTACCAGGATCTGACCTGCCAGTGGTCTAAGACCCATGAAGGCAGGAGAGGCAGGAGTTGTTTGTCTTATTCATGGCAAATCTCCAACGCTAAGTAACATGTACTAATCCTAGAGACCCAATAAATATTTGTTGAATGAATGAATGAACAAACAAACGTGACTTACAATACCAACTGGGGTAAAGGGTGCGGTAGGTACTGTGTGTCAACCTCCCACCCCCACCCCCAACATGAGCCACAGTTTCTCAGACTCACCTGTCCTTGCTTCACCCTTTCCCTAGAGCTCTCCTACGAAACAAAGTCTGCATCTCACTGCGTTTCTCAAGCCTGCGTGTGACCTGCTAGCCACGGGCAGGGCTGAGGCAGCCTGACCCTGGGGGCCTAACATGGACACAACTGGCTCCTGTCAGTGCCCTTCCAGAGAAGAGAGCCCCATTCCTTGGGGAAGGGCAGCAGCGAGCCCTTCTGGCTCCAAGCCTCCTCTGGTTTCTCCTCTGGGTGGGGTCCTGCTAGGTTTGCGAGACCTGCCTGGAGCTGAAGGGCCTCCTTGGGTCCTAGCAGGGCAAAGCTGAGGGGTGGGGGTGAGGGTGAGAAAGCACAGAGAACCCTGGACCCCATGCTGGCTCCAGTTGAGTGGCCTCGGCCATGGGCTCTCATCTCCCTGGTCCCCAGTGTCCCAGGCTTGAACATGACAGGGAGGATCTGAGAACTGCTTATTATCTGAGCCACCTGGGAAACATTTAAAAATACTCATCCGTGCACACTGCCCCAAACCTGCTGGTTCCAACTCTTTCTGTTTTTATCTCCCCAGATGATTCTGCTCATCGCTCAGCTTGGAGAACCATGAGATGGCCATTTAGGTCCCTTCCGGGCCGAGCCCTTTCTAGTAACATCCTCCATCCAGCCTGGCAGTCAGGGACCACCCTCTGGATCCGTGAGGGGGTGGGGACTAGGGAGAGTGGAAGGGCAGGAAGCCTGGGGTTGGTAGCGCGACTTCACGGCCACTCACCCTGAGCTCACTGGTCTGAATTCCAGCTCTGGGGCCTTGAGCAGGTTCCTCAACCTTGGGGCGTGGCCTCCTGCTTCTGCTATAACCCCCCAGAGAGCCGTTGGGAAACACCTGGCGTAGGCTGGTAGCCGATAATGGCTGTCCCCGCCTACCCTTCCCATCCATGACATCACTAGGAGGGTCTCTACAAACTCACAGAAGGGCATCCCATCATTGCTGACCCTCTCCCCTTTCTAAACCAGGGGAGGAGCAGCTGGCTTAAGCCAAAATGCACCATCCTCCTTTGGAGCAGAAAAGAACAGCGGGGTCTCTCTGTACCCTTGGGGCCCTCAGGAGAGATCCACTCAAGAGCAGGCACATTTAACAACACTCAGCTGGGGTGGAGGTAGCAAGCAGCCCAGGAGCATGGAGGAGGGTGCCATCAAGTCCCCGCTGGGCCAGGTTTGGGGCCAAAGCCTCATTAGTCCTGCAGCACCAGCCCATCTCCCACCTGCCTGCTTGGAGCACCCACTTGAGGTCAGGCCCCAGGATGCAGAGATGGAAATCCAAGGACAGTATTTAAGAGAAGGGCACAGACTGCCCAGGGTGCCAAGAAGAGTGTGGGAGAAGAAACTGGGCATGACCAAGCCTGCACCAACCCCAGGGGAGAGGTCAGAGGCAAGGAGGGAAGAAGCGACACAGGAGTGGCCAGAGATGATCACCATCTTAGTCTCTTTTGCTTTTCAGTAACTGGCTAGGAAACATAAAAATGACAGTGGCACACTCCATCTGCCTGTGGACCAGAAAAGCAGGAAAAGTCGGGGCAACTGGAAGCCAAGAGGGATGAAGGGGTAAGCAAAATGTGATATTGGTATTAAACCCCTAGAGTGGCATATTAGTCTTACAAAAGGAAGGGAATTCTGACATATGTGACAACACGGATGGACCTTGAAGACACTGTGTTGCGTGAAGTCAGCCAGTCATAACAGGCAAAGATGGAGGGGCTGGCGTTGTGGCACAGCGGCTTAAACTGCTGCCTGCAACACTGGCATCCTATACAGGCGCCGGCTTGAGTCCCAGGTGCTCTGCTTCCAATCCCAAATCCCTGCACGTACTGGGAAAACAGTGAAAGAAGGCCCAAGTCCTTGGGCCCCAGCACCCATGTGGGAGACCGAGATGAGGCTCCTGGCTCCTGTCTGCAGTCTGGCCCAGCCCTGGCAGTTGCAGCCATTTGGGAAGTGAACTAGTAGATGGAATTCTCTCTTTCTCCCTCTCCCTGTCTTTCTGTTACTCTTTCAATAAAATAAATAAATCTCTAAAGGGGGGGGCAATCACGCAGGGAGCTAGATAGGAGTAGATGAGCTAGAATTTCTACCAGCCTTGCACTGTAACTCCACCCCCTAGCAGTCAATCCAGTACACCCACCTTCCCGTGATGCACCTGTGCCTCATCCTGGACCAGGAATGAGGAGACGCTGTAACAGCCACATGGAAGTTAAACTCCACGTGGAGCGCCATGAAAATCCAGAAAGCCTTACGCAAGACTTATGCACACGAAACTCCACCCAGGCTCCACCTTCTATGTCATAAAAGAGGCTGATAACGTAGGAGGGCCCTTCTCCCGCTCCCGCCTGTGCTCGGGATCCCTCTCGGGCTTCCTCCCGACTCTGTCCTCAAGGCCCTCTCACCGAGTAGGGATACACGTGAATGTATGCCTTCTCTCTTTAATCAAACCCGCCCTCACTTGTGCCCTAGATGCCTGTACTTTGTGAGGACAAGAATCTGGAATGAAGAGGAGGACACCCAGGCCCATAACACCCAGACTCACGGAGACAGATGCAGAACGCGGGCTGCCCATTATGGGAAGGTACTGTTCTACGGGGTCAGAGCTTCGGTTTTGCAAGAACAGAGCTCAATGGCAGGATGCAGTGAAGGTTGCACAACATGAATGAACTGTACATTTAGAAACGATTATGGTGGCAAACTATGTTATGTATATTTTACTACGTTTTTTTAAAATACCAAATATAGGGAGTAGGATGGAGAGGAAGAAAAGGAAACGAATCAGGATACACCAAGAGATGGTAGAGACTAAAAATAACAAGACACACACACACACACACACACCAGGAGACAGAGAATTTCACAAATCGCTTTTCCTGTCTGGGTTTCAGTTCCTGCTCACGGCCAAGCCCCATGGCTCTCCCACTTCCCTTACACTCCGTTTCCACGTGTGCATTTTAGTCCTGGCCTCCTGGAGATTGCTAACACACTCAGCACATTGAAGGCTCTGGGAAGCCTAGCAGGAAAGAAACCTGTTAACCAGGTTTAACAGGGCACTTCCTGAACCTTCCTCTTCGGCAGCCAAGTCTTTTTGAACAACCCATTACACTGCAGAGCATACTTGGGAAAACAGAGCTGTAGCCGAGGCCAACCTGAAGCCCAGAGGTGGGAAGTGCAGAGAACACCCAGGGGTCAGAAAGACCGCCTCCCTTCCCCAGCCCAGAATCCCTGACAGCAGCTGCAGGTCCATAGCTGCCAACCCTGTGCAGCAAGAAGCGGCCAACAGCAGGTAAGCCTTGCATAGAGGGCTCTGTGGTTCTCCAGCATCCTGCCAGGCTCCCAGCCCAACTCGAGTTTACTGTCCAAGGGGCAGGAAGGAGACAAATGCAATGGCCCAAAAATCAAGGTACCTGGGTCTCCCTGTGCGACCTGAGCAAGTCCCTTCCAGGCCTAGGACTGTGATGCCATAGGCGGGCTCAGGGGCCATGAGACAAACTCATACATGCACTGAACTGGCTCCACGAACTCCCAGCAAGGCTAGAGTGGGTCAGCCCCTTTCTGAGAGTCTCCCCTAAGATGACAAAACAGGAAAGGCCGGCTTGCTGGCCTGTTGTCTCCTTGAGGGGAGGAGGGAGAAGGGAGAGTGGAAAATGTGTTTTCCGTAGTCGCAGGTGAGCTCTTGGGATCATGTAACAACAGGAGCTATGAGGGCCCGGGGAGGGAGGGCACTTGGCCCAACCCTTGCGTTTTCAGATGGGAAACTGGGGGCCCCAGGAGCAGAGTGCTTTGCCCAAGATCCTGTGGATAAGAATCCTCAGGTCTGAGCCCAGGACCAGGAAAGAAAAGGGGCTGAGCCTGGGAGAGCACACTCAGAGCTCGCTGCTGAGGGCAGGCGGCCTCCCGCAGCCGGTCACCTGACCTAGACACAGCCGAGGATTCCCTACCCTCCCTTCTCAGTTTCGCAAAAATAAAACTACTTTCCCTGTTCAGAGTTCAGGGGGCGCTTCTGGAATGCAGAGAAGACAATGCAAAATCGACACACGTGCTGTGCTCCTACACTGAGCCTGGTAGGAGGCAGCTACAGTGTAGGGAGGTGCCTGCACAGGGCTCCCAGACCACGGTGCAAACCAACAACAAGCGCATGGCTGCCCGGCAAGCTGTGTTCCCGACAAGCACTAGGAAAACGGCAAATAGCATTAACCCTGCCTCCAGCATCTGCTTCAGAACCAGAAATCAAATTGGTAAGCTTAAGTCCATCCTGTCTGCCAACTGTGCCAGGGAGCAGTGACAGCCCCAAATGCAATCACAGCGGCATGCAGGAGCCAGGCTTGCAGGGCCCAACTCCAGTCCCTCCTTACTTCCCAAGCCTCACCATCCTTCAGTCCTCTGGCTGCGCCCTGGGCCCACCCACGGCGCTCGCTGCCCTCTCCCTGCGCCGAGTGCTGCCGACAGCGCTCCCATCAACCACCACCCAAGACAGGTCCAAAGACGTCCCTCCTCCCCGCCCGGAAACACCACAGCGCAGCGGCCAGGAGGAAAGGGGCTCTGCTGGCATGGGACCTGAGAGAAGCCACAATCATCACTGAGGCACTGGAAGGCCCTGCCTCACCCTCTAGAACACTCAGAAGGCACACACTACCAAGCAAAAACCCACACCACATCAAGGAGCAGCATGACGCTCCCAGCTCCAACCCACCAGGGGGCCCCACTGGGAAACCACTCCCCCACCATGCTCACTGTGAAGACAGGCTCTCACTGGGGCTTTCCACAGCATGGCCATGGAAAACCATGCAAAGTCACCGCCAGTGGTACACAAGGACAACAACCTGCACCACTCCCACCCATCCGTTAACCAAAAAACCTGTACAGGCAACCGGACATTCACAGCTCTCAGAGGCACATTTACATTTATTCATGGTTCAGGGGCCCAAATAACATCTTTTCCTTTTTTTTTTTCTTTTTTAACATCTTCCAAGTGGTCAAAAATACACACATGGAGAAGAAACTCTGTAGACACATTTGGAAGGAAGATTTGGGGCCAGCGCTGTGGCATAGCAGGTAAAGCTGACATCTGCAGTGCCAGCATCCCAGATGGGCTCCAGTTCGAGTCTCGACTACTCCACTTCCAATCCAGCTCTCTGCTATGGCCTGGAAAAGCAGTGTAAGATGGCCCAAGTCCTTGGGCCTCTGCACCCACATGGGAGACCCAGAAGCAGCTCCTGGCTCCTGGCTTTGGATCAATGCAGCTCTGGCCATTGCAGCCATCTAGGGAGCGAACCAGTAGATGGAAGACCTCTCTCTACATGCCTCTGACTTTCTGTTACTCTGCCTTTCAAATAAATAAATAATTTAAAAAAAAAAATAAGAAAGCTTACAACCAGCTCCAAGAATCCTGTTATTTAAAAAGGGAAGGGTAGGGTAAGGGAAAGAAGGATGGATCTGGTCCTCCTCCAAGGTTAGAAACCAGCATGAGGAAAACTCCCTCAAGGCAGTCATCCCTTCTCCCCCAGAAAAGGAGGACGCTAGGGCAGGAGATCAGGCCAGTACTTGAAACTCTGGCATCCCATAGCGGAGTACCAGTTCAAGCCCCAGCTGCTCTGCTTTTGATCCAACTCCCCACTAATGTGCACACCAGAATATGGCCCAAGTACTTGGGTTCCTGCCACCCATGTGAGAGACCCAGATGGAGTTGCTGGCTCCTGGCTTTAGCCTGGGCCAGCCCTGGCTGTTGTGACCATATGGGGAGTACACCAGCAAATGGAAGATCTCCATCTCTCCCTCTGTTGCTTTGCCTTCCAAATACATACATAAATAAAGGACAATGCTGTAGGAGAATAATCCCACATCAGTATCCCATGGGGGTACAGTACCAGGGGAGTTCCAGGCGCACAGGTTCTAAAGCTTACTCTGAAAACCCCTGCTGAGAATCGCTGCTTCATAACAAGTCGAAGAGCCAGCTCAATGGAAAACCAGCCAGGAAAGGCAAAGAACTGAGACGTGGTGGACGCGAAGCATCCAGCAAAATCAGAAGTAGGTCCATTTCCCTGCTCACCTGTAGGAGGCCTGGGCTTGGTGTTCAGGTCCCCTGCTGTTGGGGGTTGGTGGGAGGAAGTGGTTCACACAGGGAGAATGAACCTTACAGGCTCCTCTGCCTGCTCACTTATGTCCCCTGGAGGTTCCAATTTCCAGAAAGCTCACACCCATTCATCCTACAGATCAACCTGTCACTGTGAAATGTGGGCCGAGACCATCATTCATGTGACTCATCATTCACTCTTCTGGACACAATCCAGACACCAGCAAGGTCACCAGGGGCACGTCTAGGGTTTAGAGTCAGTCTGAGGGTATCCCCCAAAGGCTCACGGTGCAGACTCGTCCCCATGGGGGCGCCGTTGAGGAAGTGAAGCCTTTAACAGGTAGGACCTAGCAGAAGGTCAGAAGACTGTTAGATCACTGCGGGCATTACCCTCAAAAGACATTAATGCTGGTCTCTCGGAATAAGTTAGCTCTCGAGAGAATGAGCTGTTAGAAAATAGCAAGACTGGGGCCGGCACTGTGGCACAGTGGGTAAAGCCACCACCTGCAGTGCTGGCATCCCATATGGATGCCAATTCCAGTCCCAGCTGCTCTACTTCCGATCCAGCTCCCTGCGAATGTGCCTGGGAAAGCAGTGGAAGATGGCCCAAGTCCTTGGGCCCCTGCATCCACATGAGAGACTTGGAAGAAGCTCCTGGCTCCTGGCTTCAGATCGGCCCAGCTCCAGCTTTTGAGGCCATCTGGAGAGTGAACTAGCAGATGGAAGACCTCTCTATCTGCCTCTGCCTCTGCCTCTCTGTAACTCTGCCTTTCAAATAAAGAAATAAATGGAAAGAGCAAGACTGGTTCCAGAATAGCTCCAGCTTCATGTCTCATCATGTGACCTCCCCCACTCACTTGCACCCCCCACTGCTGTGATGTCATCACCGTGTTGTGATGTCACCAAGGGGGCCTTCACCAGAGACTTCACAGTTGGGGCTGCCTGATCTTGGACTTTCAGCTTCCCAACTGTGAGCTGAATAAACCTCTTCTATTTATCATGTAGCCAGCATCATATATTTTGTTTTAGCCACAGAAAACAGACTAAGAAAGGCATGTTTGGGGGTGGGGGGAGGACCGCTGCAGTTCTCAAGGGCCACAAGACTAAATGGAATGCTTCCATCATGCATTGGGGAGAAAACCAATTCCATCCAAGCAGCAAAAACCAAGGTCCTCAGCCTCCCGAGGGAAAGAGTCACTGCACCAAATCCTACCTGTCCTTGGACAGGCCACAGGAGGAGTGTAAGGACTCAGGTCCCAGATCACGTCCCAGGAGAGCAGGCGGCCAGAAGTGGGGCCATTCGAGCTGCACGTAGAAAGAGGAATGGTGGGTCGAGCTGTGGGAAACACAGCCGTCACTACAGTCCCTTCTACACCAGTTCTTTTACTTTGTACTACATGCATATGTTACTTGGATTGGAAAAAAATGCAAATGGGACACAGAGAGGCAGAAACCAATTCTGGCTGACGGGGATGTAAACCATCTGGCATACCTGGGAGAAGAGGACCTGGTGGCTGGAAGGGATGGTGTGCCGGGGAATGCGGTAGTCAGTGTTCGGTAGAGAGGCGGCGCCAGACTTAGGAGCGCGGCCGGAACATTAGATGGTCGATAAATATTTGCTGGAAGAAAGACAGGTTGGGGCTAGACTCTTGGAGGCCCTGAATACCTTGCAAGGAGTTTGGAATTTATAGTCAAGTGTTTCCCAGGGTTACATATTGCACACGACAATGACAGGCTGTGAGCCACACAAAGCCACACAGTAGGAAGACAGGTGGGCCACCCACATCAGGGAGAAGGAAGCAGGCCCATGTAGCAGAAGCCCTCTCTATGGGGCTGGCGGATGGGCTGCCACCCCCTGAAGGCCAGGGTAACATTACAGGCTGACGCCCTGAACACACAACACCCTGGGCAGCAGCTCTCCACCCGGATGCCATTCGCACGTTCCCTGACCCCAGGAGCCAGATCTGCTCTCCTCCTCGCTTTCAGAAAAGCCTCTAGCCAGAGGGAGGGAAAGATTAAAGAATCCATGCCTGGCCCAAGCCCAGGATACAGAGGACACACTCAGAACGTCCGTCCCCTGGTAGCCACACTCCGCCCTAAAGGATTACAGGGTCTCTGCCCTCCAGGTGGGGCAAATTCCCAGGATTCCAGATAACAGGGCTAGATGTGATGGGTGCAATTACTGACCTTAAGGGGAGATAGGGAAGACAGTACTGGGCTGGAGCAGAAGCCTGAAGCACCTGCCAATCACTCCCACCCATCTGTCCTTCAGGGAGCTGGGTCACAGGTTCTAGTCCTGCATCTGACACGAACAGACCACGTGGCCTTGGATGAATCAATTCATTTCTCTGAGCCCTTAGTGCTTCTATTTACAAAATAATAACAATACAAACAGTTGTATCAGCAGTTAACTATCCTCACTTTACAAATGGGGAAAGTGGGCCACAGAGAGGCTATGTGACTTGCCCCAAAGTCACAAAACACAGAGGTGGCTGGGCCCCAGACTCATGCTCTTACCATTAAGCTACCTACCTCTGCCGACAGCAGGAGCATGAAGAGATCACAGGTGGTCTCCAACATGAACATGCTTTGCTTTTATGGCCATGCTAGGTCATGTGCACACCATGTCCCACGAGCCCAACCTTGCCCAACCACAGGGAAGAGGGAGCAGCCCATGCCCAGTCTGCAAGCAGATGAGGCAAAGGCAAAGCCACAAGCCCAGGCCTGTGGAGGTCACACAGCTTCGCTCAATCCCACAACCCTACCAGCTTTGCCACTTGTGCCCAATGTGCCACTTGTGCCCACTACTGGGCAGTAGTGGCTGGCTCAATACAAACTTATTCTTCATCCTGAAGAAGAGCTGGAACCATTTGCTCGCCAAGGTGAGGGGACATAGGGGCATCATGCAGGACTGGGCTGGTGCCCCCTTGGTGTTCGAAGGCCAAGGCCAAAATTTACTGGAATGTTCCAACAGTTGGGCTGCCCACTGCTAGGAAGCTGGGTTACTTAGGGCTCGCAATGACTCAGCGAGTCTCGTGATGTCATGGGCTTATAAACACCCACTCACAAGTAAGGACAAGATGTCAGAGGCCAGCCAGAGAGAGGTCTCAGCCCCAAGAGAGTTCTACTTTCCTGGAACACAGGCAAACTCACTCCAGCCTCACGGTGCCCCGTTGAGGAATCCATTCCAGCCAAGGGTCCATGGGGAGTGCAACAGAGCACATCAACCCACTCCAGAGCAGGACACTCGCCACTGTGTGCGGCTGAGATGGCAGCCCAGGGGCCGGGGGCGTGTTCCAACGCTCCCCACGCCACAGCTCACTCCCAGCTCCCCATGCAGCTGCAGCAGCTCCCCAGTCCTATTTGGTCCAGCGGGGTTCCCTGTGAGCTTGTGTTGAAATTTCAGAATTCTCTACCCAGGAGCTTTCCCACCTTGCTTTGCTAATGAAGAAGTGGTTGTGTGAGTGCCCAGGCTCCCAAAGCTGTAATGGGGGTGGGGTGGGGAGAGGAGGGTGAGGGGAGACTTCCCACACACACGGCTTGGGGCAGCGGGGCAACACTGAGAGAAAGGGGCATGAAGTTCATCCATTCACCCAACACAGAGAGCTTGCCCTCCACATGTGCCATTATCAAGAGCTGAAAACACAAGGCTGTGTGACCTTAAGCAAGTCACTTGAGGTCTTGGAGCCAGTCGTCTGCTTATCTGTAGATGGTCTCGTAATAGCATCCACTTCCTAGAAAGTCTCTGAGGACTGAAGGAAACAACACATGCAAAGCCTCCACATGGAGTCTGGCAAACAATAGCTTGCCCACTGCTTTTATTTCTGTTTTTGTTTTTTTTTTTTTTTTTTGGATAAACAGTAAATTCCTAGAAAGATGACATATTTACTCATTCTTACTTAAGACTCTCACTAATTATGAGGAGTCACTCTCTGGATCCACCCCAGGTAAAAGCAAATCCACCGTGAACACTGCACATGGACGACCACCTGCCTGAGCAACCGTTTCATTCCACCGCCCCACTAAAGAGAGGCCAAATCAAGGCCCCAAGGAGCCAATGCACCTGCCCATGGCAGCCCTAAAAGGAATCTGACCCTCCACACTCACCTTTCCTGGCTCTCCATTTCTAAATGCACAGACCGCTCTGCTTAACTTAATTTTGATTATGCAACAAAGGAAACTTGGACAGAGAGCTAGAGAGGAGAGGAAATCACTATCAGTTTACACGAACGCCTGGAGTCCCAAACAAAAGTGCTCTGGGAAGCTCACTCACCTGGCCAGGCTGCTTGGGCCAAGGGCCATTCTGAGGACCCAGACTGACAGGTGCTGACGTCCAGGCCAGGTCAAGAGAAGGACCTGGTCAAGAGAAGATCCCTGACACTTCTGCTAGGCCTGGTGTGGCCACACCCATCCCTAATGGGAAAGGCCCTCCCCACTGCTCCCCTCCGAGCTGTGGGCAAACAGGCCTCAGGCAACAGCCAACAGGACCAAGTTCAGCTACAGGACTGGCCCCTCTGTGGGTCCTACCCATCTCTGGCATACCCTCTCTGGCCTTGGAGGATGGGCTGGCCCAGTCCATAGCTGTAGGCAAGCCAATCCTGGAAGAATCTGCTACAGGGCACAGGTGTTTACAGGAAGTATAAGTCACTTTGCCAAACAAGGGCAATCCTCCCAAACGTGAGCATGGTAAACAGACAGAGCCCTGCTCCGACAGGCGGTCACAGCCCCTCCAGCAAGTCACCGAGGAGCTCTGCGCAATCCGTGCACCTCCCTGGGCAGCAGTTCCAGCTGGTAACATGGATATCCACCAGCACGTGGGCCCGGGGGGACAGGAGATCTCTTCTGCTTTGTTCACCGGTTCAGCTAGGACACCTGCGCTCCGTATCACAGTGCCTGGGTTCACATCTCAGCTTCACTCTTGGGCCCAGCTCCCTGCTAATGGGGACTCTGGGAGGGAGCTGTGATGGCTCAAGTACTTGGACCCCTGCCACCCACCTGGGAGACCCAGACTGAGTTCCTGGCTGTGGCTGGCCCAGACCTGGCTATTGCAACCATCTGGGGAGTGAACCTGTAGATGAAGATATCCCTCCCCCCAGCCTCTCTGTTGCTCTGCCTTTCAAAGAGAGAAATCTATATTTTTAAACATGGTCTTATACATACAATGGAATGCTATCCAGCCTTAACAAGGGTAGAAATTCTGACATATGCTCTAGCACATACAACCTGAAGGACATTATGCTGAGGAAAATAAGCCAGACATAAGAGCACAAAGCCGTATGACACCATGTGTGAGAGGTACCTAGAATCAAATTCATGGAGACAGAGGTAGAATGGAGGTTCTCAGGGGCTTGGGAGAAAGGGCTAGGAACTTGTTATTTAAGAGGCAGAATTCAGGACCGGCATTGTTGCACAGCAGGAAAAGCCACTGCCTGCAGCTCCAGCATCCCTTATGGGTGCCAGTTTGAAACCTGGCTGCTTCTCTCCTGATTCAGCTCTCTGCTGATGCTCCTGGGAAATCAGCGGATGATGGCCCAAGTGCTTGGGCCCCTGCACCTACACGGGAGATCTGGAAGAAGCTCCTGGTTCCCGGCTTCAGCCTGACCCTGCTCTGGTGGTTGTGGCCATTTAGGAAGTGAACCAGAGGATGGAAGCTCTCTCTCACCCTTTCTTTTAAATAAATAGATCTTAAAAACAAAACAAAACAAAACCACGGCAGATTCTAGTTTTGCAAGGTGAAAGGAATTCTGAGATTGGTTGTCTAATAACAGAAAGGTACTTAACATAACCATACACTTTTAAAAGGTTAAGATAATTGCCACAATTTTTTTTTTTAATTCTCATACTCAACAGCTCCCCATATTTCAGGGTCTAAAATCCTGGCACATCAAATAACTCACTCCTGAGGTTTCTACCACACTTGGGAGGGCAGGATTTTTGCTTGTCTGCTTATTTTTGATAAAACACAGGCAAGGGTCTCCAACATTCTGCATAATCCCCTGGGAACAGCAATGTCCTCGACTCAGGAGCCTACCACGAAGGGAGCATCTGGAAGGTCAGCTGGGGGCCTCTCAGATGGGAGGCGAAAGGCTTAAGACACATCTTGAATGCTCCTCTGACCCCATGGACACAGGGCTTCTCCTTGCAGGATCTGCTCCCTGCACCATGCCAAATTCATCTCCAAGGAACCAGCTCCCCAACCACACAGGCATGGAGCCAGCTGACCACACAAGTCACATGTGCATGTGAGACAACCAGGGTGGGAACTCTGCCCTTGGCACGAGCACTAGGGCAGGGCCCGGCACACTGTGGGCGCCAGCTCTCCTGGACCCACGCTGGGGCCAGGCACCTCAGAACCCATACACACCTCCAGAGGTGGGTGTGTCCCCCCAGCTTCTGTGAGTCCTGCTTCCACACCCTTCACAGAGGCCACACCTTCTGCTGTATGCCCCGTGATTATTAGCCTATTATCCACAGGGAAAAAAAGGGTTTTCAAAGCTGCCCTGTGGCCTGCCTTCTCTTGTCCATTCCTCTGCTTATAATTATGTCAGGTGCTGTGTCTGCGCGTCTGCCCCATAAACGCTGGAAACATGACAGATGAGCAGCAGCATTCCCTGCTGTCACCCTGGCCCCGGGCGGTGTGCCTCACTAAATAAAACACACGTTCAGCAAACAACTGCAGGGATTCACAGCTGACCCAAGTCTCACTCATAGGCATACACAGAGCAGGAACATGGAGCCCTCAGCGCCCTCTGCCTGCCACGGTTCTGTGTCTTCAGCGCAATGCACCAACCACCATCTGGGATCCACGACATAAGCCCATCAAAGCGCCAGCATTCAGAGCACACAAGACGCCTAAGCAGGTGTCCAAGGACAATTCCCAGAGGTCATCCACGCTAGATTTCCCATAAATGCTACTATCAAATAATCTCCTAACACAGGAGGACTTGATGTCGCCAGGACCGAGTGGAGCTCCAGGGGACAGTCTCCTTTCTGTACACACCTGAGAACCTCGACAGAAAACTCAATGGGCCAGCGCCAAAGCTCACTTGGCTAATCCTCCGCCTGCGGTGCTGGCACCCCAGGTTATAGTCCCGGTTGGGGCGCCAGATTCTGTCCCGGTTGCTCCTCTTCCAGTCCTGCTCTCTGCTGTGTCCCGGAGTGCAGTGGAGGATGGCCCAAGTGCTTGGGCCCTGCACCCCATGGGAGACCAGGAAAAGCACCTGGCTCCTGGCTTCAGATCAGCGCGGTGCGCCGACTGCAGTGCACCAGCCGGAGCGGCCATTTGGGGGGTGAACCAACGGAAAAAGGAAGATCTCTCTCTCTCTCTGTCTCTCTCTCTCTCTCTCTCTGTCTAACTCTGCCTATCAAAAAAAGAAAGAAAGAAATAAAACATGACGCAGACTCCTAGCTTGGGGCTCTAAGGGTCTCAGGGAAAGACCCAAAGGAAGCCTGACTGTGCAGCCTCCAGGACACACGAGCTACATTTCAGCTACACAACACCTACAAAGCGTTCCCTGCACTTTTGGGGGCATCATTTTTAAGATGCACTGGGGGTCGAAGAGACTGAGAGGAAGCTTTAATCACAGGTGACAGACACGTTAGGCAGATAAACATCTCCTCCCCAGAAAGCAAGCTCAGAGATACAACTGAGCCACGGTCATGGACCACAAGAGTTCTGGGAAGTTAGAGAAGGGGACTGGTCCCAGGGATGTGAGCGCGTCCCAAGAACCAGAAGTCTCAGCCAGCAAAACCACAGGATCCCTATGCCTGAAACAGGGTGTCCCCTACATCCCAAACTCCAAATGTCACGAAGCAAAAGGAGAGGGTGCTAGGAGAACAAATGCAGGGCGCCTTAGATTTGGGGAGACAACTTTGATGCTGGGAGGTGGCATCAAAGCAGAGACCAGAGGCTGGGAAAGTTAGGAGAGCGGAGCCTGGAGAAAGGCGCTAGGGACACAGGGACTGGCAGGCGGGAGGTGGACAGAGGCCTGCGTGTTATCTGATGCCGGCTGAGCTCCAGGAGACGAGCACATGGGCCCCTTCTGAGGCCTGAACACAGGGGCAGGACGGGGTCCTGCTTTGATGCTGTTTCTGAACAGCCCTGCTCTCTGGTGCGTTCAGGAATGGAGACGTGAAGGATCCAGGAGGCCACTGCCCACGGCTGAACCCACTGGAAGTGAAACCCCCATGAGGGGAGATGCAGCAGGGAGCCTTTCTGGCTCCCCTGGCCGTCGCATTCCCCTACGTTCCCCGAAATGCCCAGACCATCTGGGCCGACCCCATCTGCGCCGCTGGCAATACTGGATGACCTTTGGCCATGCTGGCTGACCCTTGGATGACTCAGCTTCCTGGTAGTTAACTTGTGAAAGGTCCCGGCAGGAAGCCGTCAGAGTGCTATAAAAAACAGGGCCTTCCAGAAGCATCTGCCACACTTCTCCCCTTGATTCCAGGGCAGGGCTGTGGCCATTGAGCCTTTCTGGAATTGTCTGAATGAACGGTTAGTCTTAAAGTGTTGCCAGGTGGACGAAATCAGCTATGGTTTCTAGCCAGACACTTTGGAATTCAGGGACAAGTGGGGTCCCAAAATCGTTAGTGGGCAGCTGGCTCCTCTCCTCGGCTCTCATTCCCCTGCAGGGGACTTCTCTCTCTTCTTCAAGGCAGCAGTGCTGTCCCGGTGAGCTGTCCTGTCCATCCAAAGCCAAAAGAACAGGAGCCAGAAACTACGCTGCCTCCCCGGAAATAGAATGGAAGCTGCAGAATGAGAGGCCTCCCAGGAGACCGCTTAGTGCTAGTTCAATCTCGCCATTTCACAGGCTAAGAAACTGAGGCCCAGCCAAGGT